GCACTAAGGATGTGAGAAGCAGCTTGCACTGCTTTGCGCAGTGCTGAGAGTGGTGGACAGGAGTGTCTGAGGCAGTGAGATTTCTGCCCAAGCAAAGAAAGTGGGAGAAAGAGGGCTGGGGGAGGGGGAGGGAGGGGGGTGGTTCTGGGAATTGAGCCCAGGGCTTCTCACAAGGGTTCTGCCATGTTGACTGTATTGATGATAGCCTTTCCCAGTGACATCTTGTCAGCCAGTGGATTCCTCCTCCTGGAGGGAACAAGTTCACAGAACTCCAGCCAATCACCAGCTTCAGCTCAGAACTTTGCACTTGATTCTTCTTCTAATGTTATTTCCACCCAATCCAGAGTTTCTGTGGGGGTTTGGGATGTTGTCCTGTGATGTCCCAGCCTAGGCTGAGCGATAAGATCTGAAACTTGGGGACATTTGAAGCATAGGAGGAGATCTGGCCCATGGCTTTCCCTCTGGGCATCCTTGGCAGATGGCATATCATCCCATGAACATTTCCTACACTGGCCAGGCCTTCCTGTAATCTTCTCTTTTACTCTACCACACCCCTGGAAGGCAGGTGGAGCAAGTTTTGTCGTGGACTAAAGAGAACTGAGGATGAGGTGGGTATTATGGACCCTTTTCTGTGGCTACTTCAATTGCTCTGAACCATGCGATCAATTATGTGGTGAAAGATAAGTTCAGCAAAAGAACTGACATCGATTTCTCTGCCTCTGCTTTAACGATTGAATAAGATGCACTTTCAGCAAGTTTAATGTAACATTGATTTTTCTTTTTTGGCTATGCAAAATATTCAGGATGGATACAACATTTAGAGACAAACTAGCATCCCTTGACGATGCGGGAACATCGTGGAGTGTATGAAACAAACCAAGGTGTCTCTCATGTCTCTGGGTGATGCAGAATTGTGGGACCACCTTCATTATGTGCAGTCTTTGTTGGGCTAGATGTCCTATGCAGCTCGCGGTTGTACGTACAGCATTAGCTGAATCGTCTCAATGTCATCAAGCCAAAGGACTTCTCAGTATTCTTCCTCATTCTCACAGTGTTCTGGAAAGCCTTTGGAAGGACGATGGGCAGGAGGGCCATTTGGTTCAGAGTGACGGTGGTTTTCTGGGCAGCTGTGGCATCGGGGATAAGTATTGGTTTCAGTAAGATAATCCATTTATTGGCAAACAGTGATTGGTTCAGGAAAATTAATAATCCCCCGCAGTTTCCAGTACAAAGGAAAATGAGTAATTTCCCCAAAGTGTGTGTGGACACATTCAGTGCAATACAGGGTGTTAATTCAATTTCTTGCTTCACAGTGAAGCCAGGGGCAAGATGAAACACTGGATTCCAGGTTCAAGCCCAAATCTGACTAATTGTTAGGGTTTTTCAGGTACCCAGCTCTGTCTTTAGTGTGTTTCCCCAATAGGGTGAGCTTCTAAACACAGGACTGCAGAAGAAGAAGATATCTTACAAAGGACCAGTTGTGGCTGGGCGTGGGTAGTATGTGCCTATAATTCGAGCACTTGGGAGGCTGAGGCAGTAGGATTGCCATGAGTTTGGGGCCACCCTGGACCACATAGTGAGTTCAAGGCCAGCCTGAACTACACAGCGAGACCCTGTCTCAAAAAATAAAACAAAACAACAATAACAAAAAATAAGCTAACATCCTTTTGTGTTTACCAGGTTCATTTCAACAGGGTAGAACTTGGGAGCCTTTTAGCAGTAAGAGAATTGAGACCTGAAGTGAGGTGTGTGTGTGTGTGTGTGTGTGTGTGTGTGTGTGTGTTGTGTGTTCAAAGGCAATGCCATGTCATCCAGGCCCTGAAATGAGAGCATGCATAGTGTGTGTGTGTGTTTGTGTGTGTGTGTGTGTGTTGTGTGTTCAAAGGCAATGCCATGTCATCCAGGCCCTGAAATGAGAGCATGCATTCATACACCCTCTCCTGTGTGTGTGTGAGTGAATTACAAAAGTTCACAGAATGTCTTCAGGGTACATGGGTCCCTGGCAAAGCCCACTCTGCAAGAGGGTGGAGCCTCGTGGCTGCTGATGGACATGCTATATTGGCAAGAGCAGAGGCATTACAGATAGACTTCGTTTTGCACATCTTCTTTGTTCCTTCTTTTTTTTTTTTTTTTTTTTTTGAGACAGGGTCTCACTATGTAATTGAGACTGACCTGGAACTCACTATGTAGCCCAGGCTGGTCTCAAACTCACAGCGATACTCCTGCCTCAGCCTCCTGAGTGCTGGGAGTATAGGTGTGTGCCACCGCGCCTGGCTTTCTTTGTTCCTTCTTAACTGTGTGAGGTTTTTCTTTCTTTTTCTATTTTGTTATTTTGTTGCCATGGATCAAAGCCAGACCCTTGCACATGCTAGGGCCTTAGCCAGTGATAGCGAACCTTTTAGAACTTTCAGTGATACAGCCAGGTTTCCATCACTGGCCTAAGCAAATGCTCTACTACTCACTGAGCTACACTTACAGCCCTAACTGCTTTTACTTTTCTTTTTCTGAGATAGGGTCTCACTTTGGGGCCTACATCAGCCTGGAGCTCACCATGTATCCCAGGCTGGGCTTGAACTTGTGATCCTTGTGCTTCTGTACCTGGAGCGTTGGGATTATGGATATGTGACATCATGCCTGGCCCTGACTGCATTTTTCAAAGGAATTTACTTAGTTTTACTCAATCTTAGTTTTCTCATTTGTGGAAGTCTGCTACCCATCACATCTTCTTGTAAAAGATAAATGAAGTAACACACGTAAAGTGCCTGGCATTCAGAAAAGTGCTTAATAGATCATAATTGTTATACTCTTATTTTGGTTTTCATGAGATTTGACTCTGTGTTAACAGCTCTGTTGTCTTTTGTCTTCAAAAAAGCAGAGACAGAATGCATAGAATATGGGGCACTTGCAAATGTCACCGCTATGAATAAGTAGAGTATTTGCCCTAAAAAGGCTTTATATCATATCAT